AACGTAGACCAAGAGTCTACGTTTGGAAACATTTGAACTGTCCTAAATGCAATGGACTATATATCACAAAGATGATAAAACATCTACTAATTTCCAATTTGAATAAATTTTCCATTCATTTATTATAATTTTCATATTACAGCTTCAAAAAAGGTTTACTGTTTCATTTAATATACATTTTATTTTTGATGTTTTCAGGAAATTGTCAAATTATTTTCTTTATAATTATACAAGACCATACTGTTCTCATTTAAGTTCGTTTTTTCTGGGATTTTTCTTTGGATATTTTCTATCAGAGAAACAAGAAATGAAATTGAAAAAAGTAAGTATTTGTTAATACTTCATAACATACTGTCTTCTATTAGAAATTATCACCTATTAATATAATTAACAAAAATTGTTTACTTTCTAGTAAATTAAGATTAATTCGAAATGAATGGTCGGCATATTTAGAACAGATTAAGACTAAATACTCTTTAGTTATAGAGGAGATCTGCAGTAGATGGCGTAATAAATTTAATGCTTTGTCTATGGAAAAATCCTTTACTGGGACTCCTTAAACACAGAAGAAGATAGAACCAAACAGTTTTGTCCTTTAGAATTTCATTTAATTCTTCTAATAGCGTCTGTTTCAAAATTTCCAAACTGTTATTATAATTTTAATATACCTGACTATTTTTTTTATAAAATTTTTTATTAATTAAATCAAATACAATTACAACTTTAGCAAGTAATTTTATTTTAAATTTTAGGTTTCAGAAATATTTTTTTGGATCGGCAGTATTATAATAATGACAGTAGTAGTATTCGGTTTGCATGGATACTTGAAGGACATTTCTCCAAATAAAATTATATTGTACTTACATCAAATATTATCTCCGTTTGCGTGGACAGTATCTACAGCATGGATATGTATTGCATGTGTTACTGGACGTGGAGGTTTGTACAATTCATTTCGTAATTAAATTAACTGAGTTTGTCATTTATATAATTAATACAGTGGATGATCGGTTAACGAACAGTTCAGACAGCGAACACTTCACAGAACAAACGACATAAAATAACGAATACGTATTGGTTTTTCCCTTGTCTCCAGGTAACAATGTGAAACCTTTCGGAGCGCGAGAAACACTTAACCCGATACCAATCAGATATTATTCCTCCGAATTTTGAAAGTCTCCATTGTAATTCCAGCTTATTGTTTACCTTTCTGACATCAAATTTTCTATAGACTTTGCGAGACTGTTGGGCACTCGTTAATTAAGTTTCGTCCGTTTCTATTTTCTAAAAGTGAGAGTTTAACTGTCCTATCGGAAATTCGTTAACCGTTTAACACCAAAATTTTGAATATCATTCGGGCCTCACATTTACATAATTGTTTCCTTTGGTAGTTGATTTTTGTTCAGTGAATTTTTGTGAGTGCTTTTCTATATTTTTATTTTAAAAAGACATTGATATTATTATGTAGCCTAAAAAGAGTGGCGTGTCAATAACCGTGCTCACCTTAGAAACTAAGCAAGAGATAATAGCCAAGGTAGAGAGTGGGCAGATGTCTAATGGTGCTAGGCAGTATCTACAGTAAGCATAATCTTAGCAAAGAAATATATGATCAAGAAGACTCGAGCAGCTAAAGGAGTAACGAAAATCACATCTGAGAAACAAAGATGTGCCATCTATGAAAAAAAATGCAGAGATTGCTTTTAGTTTCTTATTACAAGTAAATAAACACAGTAAGAAAGTATATAATTTTTATTTGTTTTTTGGGGGTTTCCAGAACGAATTAATCAAATTCCCATAAAAATCTATGTTAATTAAATCGATAATCGATTAACGATCAATTCGGATAGCGAACAAAATCTTGAAACAGATTATGTTCGTTAATTAATCGATCACCCACTGTATTTATAAAGCAAACGAATTAAACGTATTTCAAACAATTATGAAAATTTAATTGTATTTATAATATTTTTTGCTGCATTATAATATTTTTGTACTTTTTACACTATGTTTATACACAGTGGAATCTTCGTATGTTCACCAACGAAGAGATTGATCTCTACTGGTCAGCATACAGAGATGGTTACCTTATTTAAATGTCGTTCAGTATGCAACATTATACAATCAAGAACGTTTTAATAATTAAAAATTATGTACGTCTTTATATATGTATTGAAAATGTTAACGATTGAGATAGTAATCACTTAGATAAACAATACATGCAGCACTAAACATTTAGAATATGAATACATGTATAATAAAATACTATATAATTTATGTTTATGTGTTATATTTTCTTGAAATAAATCGAAAACTAGCAAAACAGTAAACAATAAGAGTAGTGTTGGAAAACGAATCACTTTTTAATTGTTTTTATTTTTTACATTTTTAAAACATGAAATTTAACTAATTTCCTGTAGAATTCTGACTTATCAAAATGTTCGTAATTGTTACTAGTATTATGTAGGCAAATTTCACATATCTTCTGAGACAATTATTGTTTCGGTTATTCTTGCTTTATTTCTACCTCTGGTGTATTAAAAGACCCGGATAAAGCAGCCAGCCAGTATGTAAAGCATTCGCGCCCTGTGTAGGCCATGAAAAATACTAATTGTAAAGTCTCTTTTTTTTCCTGACAGATCGGTTTATAAACGTGATAGTCTTCCAGGTTTAGAAACATTCAAGTTATAGATATAGAATCAACAGTAAAAATTAAAAGCAAGAAAGAAAAGAAAAAAAGAAAATAATTTAAATTATAAAATACAATTCATTTTCACGCTCACACCCCAGAAAGGATGAGCAGCAGAATGACAGTCTTGATAATCTTACAAATCGTCGTACTTTCTCACACTTTCCTCTTCATAAACACCTCAGTTTTTTCAGTCATACTTATGCCTAACAAACTTACATTATCTTTCTGACTCAAAATTGTCGTAAAGTTTTATTATAAATTCATTGCAAGTGTTTACTCTCATTTTAAAAGTGTTATTCTCAATAATTTTTTTTTCATTTATCTAGTATTTTCTTTGTTTTATGTATATTAAAATCCCATATCCAAATCTTTAATAATTTCCAACTTAATTACCGATTAAATCATTTATAAAAGTATATCTAAAAATTCATGCTTGATATTTTTTCTTAGGTATTGTAAATCGATTTTTCTCGTTAAAAATTTTCCGTATGTTGGACCGTTTGATAATTTGGATCTATTCGCTGCACATCCAAGTCATATATTTCATTTGTGGTCAACTAAGACAACCTATTTCTTTTACGATGATAAACATGGTAAGTATGATAATATTATTCGTAAGTGTTTTTAAACCATAATGTTCGTCCGGAATTCATAAAATTGAAGATGAAGAAACAAGTAGGAAGCATTTGTTGCTAACTTCACACAAAAAGTGTACAGTATCGAGGAAAGAAAACTTATAAAAATTGAAGATTACCAAAGCTGCTTGATCTAGCATTTCCCTAGANGAATATATTATAGTATTCCTTTTTTCTGTAATAAAATTATACAAAAGGAAAATGAAATGTTTTTTTATTAGTGATTACATTTATAGAAATAAAATAATACTCAGAGCTAATTGCCCTTGGCAGATTATTTCCATACACACAGGCTATATTCAAAAACGTTTGGCACAAATTATAACAAACAAAAAAGGAGACCTCGGAGTACCCTCCAAGTCTTCAATAATTTTTGAGTTATTATAACATTAATGAAAAGAAACTCAAATAACAGTAAAAAGCTTATAATTTTCCACCTTTTAAGATCTGTTTTATTTGTAAAATCTTATAATTTTCATTTAATTAAATTTCATATAATTAACATTTGGTGGCGCCATCTGTTAAGATATTTTATTTAAAAACTTCGTTACTGTTTTCTTCTTTTTATAATTTTATTTAAAAACAATACAATCGTCATTAACCACGACACTAATCGAGATACACACGACTCCCATTATTATTCCACTTCCTTGACCTTTAACTACAAAAATTTAACGGCATTGATTCCTCTATGAAGAAATTTCTCTGCGAAATTTCAGAAATTTTTGGTAAAAAGAAATAGGAATTAAGCTTTAAACGGGGTGAACAGAATTGTACCTCACACACTAACATTCATACATACAAAATAAAAAACCTGTATTTTTATGCATTATTCGACTATTTGAGGTCCGCAGTCACAAAATGTAATAATCTTGCAGAATCTTTCTTTGATCTATTGCCACACTCTCCCTTTATCATATATAACAGTCGGGAAAGTAAAAATGGATGCCGCCTCATTTGTCTCTTTTAGAAACTAATGTGAAATGCTAAGTTTCGCAACAATTTTGAATAAATAAAATTATTTCAAATTGGCACTTGTGAAAGGCTACTTAATTCCTTGTGATTTTTGAGCAGTACACTAACTTATATTTATATCAACTTTTGTTTCAAAAGCTCAGAAACGAGTGGCAGCAGTAACTTTCCCTGCAAAAAAAGTATATTTGTGTGTGATGCCATCTGTTTTGATGTTCTACTTAAAATACTATTTACATTATTAAATATTATTTTTAAAAAAGGAAAAGCTTACTTGTGAAGGTAAAAATGAATTTTATAAAACTCANACGCAGAAGCCAGACTGATAAAGAGCATTAACACTAGCTTAATGAGTGACGTTTGTATACGGCAACGCGTCACGTAAGCGATCTGTCAAAGTACAAGAAGAAGAATTCCTCCCGGGAGGACTTTCCATGGGAAACTGGCCCCTAGTTAAGTGTTACAAATTCGAATAAATCCGGAAAAAATCCACGTAGCCAGCCCGTTGGCGATGCTTGAACTCACGACCAATTACTAGTGTTCTGTGGTTTTATCCGCTCGATCACTGGTAGTCACTATCATAAACTACAAATTGAAAAAGGTATGTAGAATTGCATCTGTTTTATTTCAAATTTTCATTAAAAGTTTAACAAAACGTATTTTTAATATCAACCTAGCATAAATTGAATTATTGATGAATGGCTTTAAAAAATATCATTATAATACAATTTTTCTTTTCTGTAGTCATCGTCAATTTGTAATTGAGTTTTTCTCAACTTCTTGACTTTCAGGCATGTTGTTCATTTTATACTCTTTCACTGAACTTTTGTCTTTGAAAGAAACCAAATCGAGCGTTTTCTGAAGAAGGTAATTGGATGGAGTTTCGACAAATGCATAGACAAAATATGAGATAATCAACGTAAGCATCATCACAAAGGCATACATCGTCCACTAGAAAAAAAAAGTACAATTGTGAATTAAAATTTATAATCGTTCAATACGCATTTCAGACACTCTCTTCGCTTCACTTGGAGTTACAATTATAAAAATTCGACCTTTAACTGTTGACAGACCCCGCAACGATTTGAAGAAGTTTTATAATTGTTACTCCGACTGAAAAAAAAACGAATGATTGAAATGCATATTGAAGGAAGAAGTAAAAGTTAATATTGTAAAACAGACTTAAAGAAATCCTTGGTGTAATAAGTCTGGAAATTAAATCGCCATTGAATTTAGTGAATTAATTTAGGTTAAATGACGCTAAATTTAAGATATACGATATAACATCCAATAGGCTCAGCGCATGATCTTCATGAAGTCTTTGCCCACAGACTCTCAGCTCTCAACTAATTTATGCTTCACCCGCAAGACAATCTTTGTCTGTATATATTTATTTTACATTTGATATTTTACAGCAATTTACTAGAAAACAATGTGAATACTTACCAAATTTAACATTGATACTGAAAACGGTGTCCGTGCTTGACAAAAAATATAGTAAATGACTGGAAAGTGAAGTAAGTAAACCCAAATTATCAATCGATCCAACATACAGAATATTTTCATTGAGAGAATTCGATTGACAATACCTAAAAATAGAATAATAAATATATATGTTATGGAAAAAATCGATCATGTTGGTGAATTTCATAAATTTTTCACTAAATATTTTTACCGGCGATTATGTATAATTTTTAAAATGTATTGCATAAATTTCATAAATATCGTAAAATTTCTCCCTAAGAAATAAAATAATATTTGGCACATTCTCTACTGTAAGAAATTTTTCATCACAGAGCACAAACTGGTTTCTGGTATACATTTGCGAAAGACCTCCCTCCTTTGTTCCCAAGCGATAATACTCATCATTTTCAGTCGCTAATATTACTGCCAATGTATCCACGGATATCTTTTACCCTGTCATATCTGGTGTTCTTAATTTCACTGTATCTCCTTGTTTGGTTGCAGAAATCTTTAATATTTTTATCATTTTCTTCGGTAGTGTTTCGCTTGCTTCTTCTCAACTTCCTCTTTTCTGATCAATCTTCTACAATCAATGTAGAAGATTGATCACTTCCATACTAAGCTGTACTTTGGTTGGAAAATGAGGGATAGTCACATGGAGTTGGTCGAATGATGGCTATTCATTTTCAACATTTTTTCTGGAATATTTTAAAATTCTTATAATTGACTTTGATTTTGATCGACTCAATTATTTCTTGTAGCTCCTCTTCAGTGCAAACATCTGCAATAGCATCACTAAGAATGATGTCTTCAGCCCAACTTTTAAGGGTAAACCAAACATGGCTTTCTTAAGGATTACACTTAATGCCTTGATGGCATGATCTATTCTTCGTGACCAGCATATCAAATTTACCATCTTAGACTGCCAAATATGCATAATCATCGGAGTAATCGCTTTTGTACATATAGCAACATATACAGTTTGAATTTAAAATGTAAGAACCATAACCAATCATATTTTTGCACAAACTGTAATTATCAATAAAATACAGAAAATACGACTAAAAACTTATGGGCATTACACGAGAACAGATGACAGTTATCTCGAAAAGCGGGTAACGAACATGGAGGTTGGAAAAAGTTAACTACAGGAAGACCAAGGATGAAGTGAATAAATATAGCTAGACATTAAGGAAAAAGATAAGGACATTAAGGATTTAATGCATTATGGGGTTTTATTTAAGCAGAGTTTAAAAGATGAGATTATATCTTCTACAGAAAACCAAAAGTATAGTACATATGATGTAAAAATTAGATTACATTGATGGGAAAAGACAACGCAGCACGATGGCGATTTGCAGCAGACGCCCTGCAGTAAGCTGGCCTAGTGAAGTTTTTTACTTTATTTACGTGTCTAATAACCAATAAGAGCCAGTTTCCCACAGAACGACCTCCAGTAGGCATCCCATCTTTGCGGATCTTACTTGTGACGCGTTGCCTTAACCCACCAAACCAACTAACTACAGGAAACTGAAAAAAATTAATAAAAAATAAAATTTTTTGTCAGCTGTTATAACGAATTTTTATAGTACAATTGAATTTGCATATCACTTTGGATCCTTTATTATTGAGTTTTGTTAGCATTAATTGTTTGATTTATACAGTATATTCCGTTGTAAAAATTGATTTGAATTCAGTTAATTTAATTGTTTTAAAAAGAAATTTACTAACCTCCATGTCCAGTAACACATGCGATGCAAATCCATGCTGTAGATGCCGTCCATGCAAATGGAGATAACATTATGTATAAACGCAACACAGTTTCATTTGGAGACGGATCCTTTATATATCCATGCAACCCAAATAACACTAACATCATAATTGTTATGCTGCAAATCCAACAGAACACTTGTGTAATCTGAAATTTCGAATAAAATTATTATGATGTTGTATTCGTACTATATTCCAGCTATTGATAACAACGAGTGTCATCTAAACTAGCAATTCCCCAAGCCCCGACCATAATTATAAAAATTTGATTATATTTTATAATAAAATTAATATTTAACATACTTATCATTATTTTTATTAATCACATTAGTATACAACATATTACAGTGAACAGAAAGACAATATAATATCAACTATATAGTACATTAGTACATACCATTTTGAATTTAATTTCTTTTTTCTCTAAGAGTAAATACCCAAAGAAAAATCCAAGAAAAAACGAACTAAGATGAGAATAATAAGGTTTCGAAGCATTATAAAGGAAGTAATTTTTCACTTTTCTGAAAATATAAGAAACGAAATTGTAATTTATCTTATTCATTAAATTATTTCTTAAGAATATAATTTTTTTTTGTGTTAGGCATTATTGATGTTCTTTTTGAAATCAACTTAAACAGAACCTTTCAGGATTTCAAAAAAGAAAACATGCCCGGAAACGAATCTGGGCAAGCAACTTTCCAAGAATTTTCTATATTCTAAGTGCCCTCCTTCACCACCCATTGTGATCCTGCAGAGTCCCCCGGTGAGTGTGGAAAAAAGACTCTCTCAGTGCTTACAAGAGGATAAAATTAAAAAATGTAAAAAAGCACAATGTAGTGTGATTCCTCCAGCCACTCATGTTTCTGCATGTTTTTTGTTTCCGCTATTTTATCTCTCTTCTAGTACATTTTCTTGTATCTCTCGCATTTATAATGTTTCGATCATTCAGATGCTCGTCCACTTCCTCCAACAGAATTTTCATGATCGCCCTTTTTCGCTTTCCTTCCACTCTTTTTAGTAATTAAACTTCATTTATTCTCTCAGCATGGTCAACTATTGTAAAGAAAGCTTTCTCGTGTTTTGGATGACATTCTCTTTCGTGCCACATTCTTTTATGATATGCTAGAATTGACAGTGTACAGAAGTGTTGTAATGGTAGTGAGACATTGTTATGGCAGAAGAGGCAAACGCGTCGGTTAACTGCTTGTGAAGTGAGACATACTTTGAGAAAAGTATATGGAGTCAGTAGTGCCGATGAGTTACTGATGAGGAATGACAATATTCAGGAGGAGAGATGCCATTTAACCCAAAGTTCAAGGATTACCGAGAAACTTTTTGAAAAATTTGATAGGTTATATACGATTCGAACATTTCAGACATTGCTATACATTTTGTACCTGCTGATTTTTCTATATACGCTCGGTAATCAACCTGAACAAATAATACAGTGCTTGATTACACCGTATTGAAGTTGATTGAAAATCTTGCAAAAGAATTAACGAACACCTTATTTCACAGAATCAACGGAATGTCCAAATATCCAATGTATTGGATTTCTGGACATTCCGTATGAGCGGATGCCGGATTAACGAACTTACGCGGTATAAACGATGAATTAGATAGAATTGTTCCTATATATGAAATATATTCGTTATATAAATCTATATATTTTATTAAAGCAATGGTCCTTTAGCTTCTTGAGCTAGCGGCCAACAAATTTTGGTTGCGCATCAATAAGCCAGTGATACATGAATGCCATTATATATATAAATAAAGTGATCTCTGTTTTCACATGAAAATATGAAAATAATATTAAAAGTTGTAAAAAAATTTGCATTTGTATATTTTTGAAATTTTGTGAAACGCATATGATAATTTCTTTCCATATTGATTGTTCTATACCTTTATGCAATGGTACTCAAAGAAATAGAACTAAACGTGTTGGAGCCACGATTATTTTTATTAAACCCTAATTAAAGTATCCCTACTCAACGGCTCCTGGAGGAATATAAAACAGTCCAAATACAACCAAATATTATGTGCTGACCTGTCACGACATGCTAAAATATTTTCGCAGATAGAAATTTAATTACAAAACTAAACACTGTAAATGTTATAATGAGGGTGAGCAGCAAAATGCATAAAAGAAACCATTTTCAAAAATTCCTGAAATCTTTCGATCCTCCCTAACTCGATCCCAAGCCACCACAGTAGTAGGCTGATACCTTAACGCAAAGGTCATCTGACAGACATTTTAATATAAGATTTAGAAAATTAATGTATATACATTTCTATATTACTTTATTGTTATTATTTGTATTAAAAATACATTTAATTATCATAAAAAAAATCGTAAGTTTAAAGTCACTTACTGGGCATTGAAACCGAAACCAAGTATTATGATGTCATCGGAGATTAATAATTGAGCAATGTGAGATACCATTCCAGCCACAATTAAAAAAACTGTCAAAATATTTCCAATTCTCGCCCACCTGCAAATAAAAAATACCTTTAATTATATCAAATATTAGATTAGAGATAAAAAGAAGTTTTAGTATTATTGATCAGCAATTGACAAAATATAACGTCTATTATATATACGTATAAGAAAAGGACGTCTGCGGTGCTGCCAATCGCTGAAAAATCTCAAAATTCCTACCATCCTGTATGTTTATAATCTGCTATGTTAAAAATATTTGAAATGTGTATTTATGATCGTGTATACAGTATACTCTCCCATATTCGAATTAATCGTATATTTTTGATAATTACAAATAATTTTGAAAATATTGTATTATAGTTGTTTTTGTTCTGGATTCGCTAATGAGCTGCTACATCACGCCAATGCCTCTTCATTATCACGTCAACAGTAATTAATGCATTGTGCTCTTCTACGAACTTCAAAGCAATCTTAATAAAATAAATTTAAAAATGTACATACTGAAGTATGGAAAAGTAACATTAGCAGTGAGAGTAGTAACAGTGTACAATATTTTCGAAAACTTATGGTTGCCTTTGATCAATCCAGATAAGGAAGTGTTCGGGTATGTAGACAGGACGTGGGATAGTCTACTGTACTTTTCAATAACTAGTAATCGTTCAATCAATACTGTTGTTTACCTCTTCGTTTCACACTCGCCAATCTTTTACACTCAGAATATTAAAAAATTCTGAAAAAGCCACCTACTCACATCGTTTATTTACATACAGTTCGAAAACATGACTTATATCTTACAAACTTTAAATACTTTAGGCAATGACTTTTATGTTCCCTCTATAGTTTCATCCTGAAATAATTATTATAAGTTATACTGCGTACCTACGAAATAAAAATCAATTAACTCTACTTCCAAGAATTCTCATCTCTTGCATAATTACAAGGATCAGTCTTAAGTTAATGCAATGTACCTCATTCATCATTGCAAACGCTAATGAAATCACAATAATGAATAACAACTCATATATATATATATATATATATATATTAAAACGTGATTATATTAATACCTTAAGTCCACCATAAAGTTTAACAAAACTGTCACCACCAAGTTATGTGTACAAAACTTGAAATGATCGGCCATGTCAGAGGGAAGCATAAAATGGTCATTGCTTAGATTTTTAAAAAACTTCCTGAAAAATGGCCGCTGTTTAGAAGTAGCTGTTCCTCGTGGTTCCATTGTATATATAATCAGTTTAAATATATATATATATATATAACTTATATATACCTGTTACGTAAGTAAAGTAAAGCTACGGCGGGAAAACTCTGTTGAGCCAAAACGCTGATAAACCATAAATGGCTATTTTCCTGTAAAATATATTGAAAATTATTAATAAAAAGAATAATATGTTAAAATATATTTATATAATAAAAGAGCCCACAATGATAATTAAATATACTATTTACTTCAATGTCTTTTCTTCCAAAATTATCTGTATGAGAAACGAAACGAAACCAATTCTCTTCTGTATATCGTGCCTTTTTTACTATTTTATTCCAAAGAGGGCCGTCTCCAAAATGTGGCAGAACGATCATAATTGCCAAAACACAAAGAACTGGTAGCGTTAATCTATAAAACATGTTAATTTCATTAGATTTAAAAACCCTTTAAGAAAAAAATCCAGCAAATAGTTTCGAAACTTTCCCAGCAAAAAAAAAATTGTGTGATCATATCTGAGCCGTGTTCAGGACTGCAAAATAAGTCTAGTAATGCTGAGATGTTGAACTCCTTTCTAACTACTTCTTGACTCTTCCCACTGCTAACATTCCCAAGAATTTTTCGGTCGATGATCAGTCCGGATATGTCCGGTCCCAGTTCTTCACCACCTAGCTCCTCCATTGAAGGACGAATCCATAATGTGTTTGCTACAAGAGGCCCTCTTAGTGCCCACAGGGCAGAAAGAGTTGAAAAAAGTTACTTTTGTCCATGCTAACAATGCTTTGTCCCGTCTAATGATTTGCAAGATGGCTGCTAGTACTGGACCAAATATATTTTTTTTATAATGGTGATAAGATTATTACAATTACAAATACTTATTATTCATAATTAAATTATTGTAAAATACTGATGCAAACTGTAACTGCTTAAAAAATGTAATCGCTTTATAAATACTCTCTGCACATGAATTTAAGAACGGCAGGATTTATGATGTTGCATGTGGACTGTACTTTACTGTATCGACTATTAAAATTAATTAACTGTTCTAAAATACATTTTATTTATAAAAATTTTTTTTCGGAGACTAAATTAAAAAATGTCGAGAAGGAAATTTATCCCTCCTGGCATGACTACGCATCCATTAGCAATGAGTAGCCTCACATATCTTTCCTGATAAACTGCAGAATTAGGAAGGTGGCTACACATTTTATCTCAGGTATGCTGATAGTATTTAGGGGAAAATAATAAGTGACATTTTAAGAAATTGTCTTTTTAACAAGAGATCGCGCGTCTGAGTTGCATCAACAGTGCTTACGTCGGCATCCAAGATGGTGCTGAGCATACAGCAGCAAGTTACAGTTAGAACTTGAGCAATTGCTTAAGAAAGCGATCGAAAGGTTTTAAGATTTGAGAAATGTGATTTCAATATCACTTTAAACTCTTGACTTTCAAATTCCACCATTCAATTCCAGATAAATAGAACAGTGTCAACACATCACGAAATCAATCGTCTTACCACCTAAATACCCCACCCTGTATATATCGGAATAAGGCAATTCTTCTATGAATTCCTGTTTTACGTGAAAATTTTGAGCATCATTTTTCTGTATATTAAATGGAAAAATGAATTATTTTTGTTTTATTTCATCTATTAAAATCATATAAAAAATTAAATATTCGTCTAACCTGATGAGCCTTTTTATTAACACAAGGCCATAGAAGATCTGGGAATTCACATTTCTTCTTTGTAGATTAGAGAAAAGATAACCACTGAAAAAGTATAAATTTCAATTAGTGTTATATCCTTTATGACTACAGGAAAACGATTAAGAAGATAGTAATTTTTTATATACAGTAAAAATGCGATAATCCGAAATCGTTTAAAAGAGTTACTAGAAGATGTAGCGTTATATATACCACAGAGACAAATTTTTCGTGTAACTGGACATCACTACATCATCCGTCAGAGAGCCTTTCTATATACAGGCTGTCTATTCATATGCCGATTGTAGCGAAGCAAAAATAGGTCTATATATAACAAAGTTAACTTTCCAGTAAATTAATTTACATTCATATACAGTAATTGGATAATACTATTTAATGTTCATGATACTTCAAAAGGCACAGTGCTTCATGTTGTACCCAAAACACAACAACAAACGAGTTTCTGGATTATCCGAAAGACCACTTGTCCCATCAAATTAGGACGATTGAGTTTCCCCTGTATTTTTATTATTTTTATTATCTTTAATAAGGAAATATGTATTTAAAGTTTTAAATTATTGCAAGAATTCGGTTCCAGAGAATCTAATTAATTAAAATCGTAGGCAGGAAAAAGCTTCAAAAAAGGTCAACTCTGCCAGTGTTGTCTTCCTGTGGACGTAAAAGGAATTAAGAAGACAGCAAATTGCATTTCTTTATAGTCTTCAACTTGTATATGAAATTCAAAAATATTACAAGTAATTAAAATTTTACTTTGTAAAGGTATTGAAAAATTTTTGTAAATATTAAACAACCTTGTAAATTTTCTTATATTGAAGAGCATTTGAAATTTAATTTATATTCTGAAAATTGTAATATTGTTTTTAACGAAATATTCAAGTGACAGAAAGAAAGCAGCATTATATTTAGGAAGTTATTATGAAAGAAAATACAGAAAGCTCTTATATATCAGGAAAGCATCAGCATCAAGCAACGGTATACTGTAGATGAGAAATTCAATGAACTCTGAAAAGTTGGAGGTATGAGGTTACAATATGCTGATGAAAAATCTTACGTACAACAGTTCAGACTGATCGATCTGATAGAAAAGTGACAATGATAACGGTAAAGCTAAGACCTCTCATACGACCTCCGTTTGCCCATCCGTATAAATTACCACATCCCTTCTCCGTTAAAAGTGGTGTTTTTCCCATGCTTCTCTAGTTTTATTCCTGTCTCCATATTCTTTTGCTAATTGGTATGCTTCTCCTTAATTTATTAAATTTCGTGTTTATATCATCCACATCTCAAAAACTGTCACAAAAAAAAAAAAACAAAACTACAAAAACTTTACATAACTTCGCTTTGTACAATCTGCCTGAGAGAACGGACAACACAATGCTCTGAAATTTCGAAAAATATTTCTGATGCAAATAGACCCAAGTTAGAAATATTTTAAAGAAAGGGATCGTTTAACTAAAAATATTTAAAGATATTTTGGAAGATCCTTGCTTGAAGACGTGGACTATTGATTAGACGTGGACCAAATTCACACCAGTATTCCACTGTAGTTTACTGAAATTTTAAAAGAATCACACGATTAAATGTTATAAAAATCAAAGTACATTTTACCTCACGAAGAAAAATGTTTCCATTGTAATATATGAACGAGATGCTATTTCAAAAGGAGCTGTAGTGAATATTTTGGAGAAGTTGTAGTATCTGTCTGTAATATAAAGAGAAATAGAAAATGTTAATAAAAAACTATTAAATAATTCATATTTTATATTCATATCCGTAATTTAACTATAGTTTTAATATATACACATCTCAGCCATCGATGATGAAAAGTACAGCTAGTTTCGGGAGGATATGAATTCTTCTTCCTCGAGGGATTTCTTCTCTTTGTACTCTTTAACGTCCCGCTACAAAGCCTACAGGAAACTGTCTATGTACGAAAAGATGCTTCTCAAATCTATGACCCTCTCATACACGATTTTCTCAGGCAATCATTACCTCACACTAGAGCTTTTTTAATTGTTTCGCCCTGTGAGCACTAAGAGAACTTTTAAATCAAGCATATCTTGGGCTTGGCCAGACCCACAATGGGGGCGACCGGATGTTGAGGAAGGGTGCCTGACATAACCGGGTCAGATATCCCCGAAAAATTCCCGAGTTTTTCGACACGTATTCCAACACCCTAATCCAGTATCTTTTAGCATTTTTCTAGTAGTGCAACCTCCAACCTGTTAAAGTTTGCTCGTGGCACCCCTACTTCTTCATCAATGTAGTTATTGTCAGCACATCAGCACTATATTTTTCTGCCGTAACTGATTGAAAACCACTGCCGTAACTACTCGGCTATTTTGTCTGTATCGCTAGAACTAGACACACATGGATTCTAACTCTTGGCTTCATGTATATACAGTCGACCCCCCTATAAGATCATAGATACGTTCCATTCTTTAGGAATCCGATTTCTTACGAGTCCTTCCAATCACAGCCCGACACGTGTGAAGTTTACGGACTACAGCTGATTAAAAGGTTTCTTCCATAAAATTAATCGATTCTAGACTAATCCGACTCAACATTTCCAAAACACACAAGCTTTTGGGAATAATCCGTATAAACTACGCTATAAACAAAAAATTGTAGGATTACTTACCGAGTGTGCACCATTCGACATCGCCATTGCTAAAGCTTGTTTTCGTCGCGGAACAGCTCAGCAAATAGCGGCCGATTTCTAATAACTTATTTTTCTGCGAAAACTTCGTTGAACATTGGAGACATCATTAATATAAATAATTTTAATCGCCGTTGAATAAGAAATGTTTCTTTCACAAGAAATGTATAAAATTACAGTACTGTATTAGACTTACGGTACCTAATTTACATACTGTACAGACGATAGTTAGCGTAAAATCTCCGTAGCGTGGCGCTACGCGGCGGAAAAAAATATATAATTATAATAAAGTTACAATAAATTAAGTTAATACATAATTATATATACAGTACCTAATTTATATATAATTTATATATAATTATATGTACAGACGAAACTAAACTCAATTTAGTCGCCTAAATGTCCGTAGCGTGGCGCTACGGACGGCGGGAAAGTAGTTTGGCTGCCAGATGATGTTTTACATAATTATTGGAGTTTTTTTTACCTTTTTTACGGATACCGTCGCAATTTTTTCGCAGTTTTATAGAAATCGTAATTATAGGGACCGTAATTATAGGGGGTCTACTGTATATAATCGAGATGGGTTGATAATAGTAAAAGTCAGCGCAGAGCCCAAACAGTTAGGAGTTGATAGTTGAAATTTGGTACACAGTTAGAGTACGTCACGAGAACACACACTGAGAAGTGATTTTTCAAAATTCCTTCCCCCAGGGACAGGATTAAGGTTTAACACTTCCATTTTTGATGGAAGTGTCAAGTAACAACGGAAGTGTCAAGAGAAAGCGACGTGCAAGACGCAGATGCAGGTTTTTTCGTTTTAGCAGAAATCGAACATATTTTTAGATCCATCTAAAAATTCTCTAATTAGTCCGAAAACAGGGGGACCCAATTCTTGCATTCTGTGAAAACGGGTAAGGTTGACTATAACGTAATAATCTTAATCTTCACTATCGTTACTTTTGCACGAGCAACGCCGGGTTTATCTGATAGCTGTTTATACTGTATTTTCGTTCACATGTTCTTTAAATGTTTTACCATTGCAGACTGAAAACAGTAAACAATTGCTGCTGTTTTAATTGTCGAATATTCTTGATTACTTAACATGCGGTGCTTTTTCTTGGCATTGACTCAACATTAAAACTTATGAAAAAATATCTGCGAACCCCACGCCTTCATTTTGCATCGTTTCTTTCTTCTCTTTTTAACTCTTTCCACCCTGTGGGCACTAAGAGGGCCTCTTATAGCAGGCCCCTTATGGATTCGGCCAGGCCCACAATGGGGCGGCTGGATGTTGAGGAACAGGGGTCCAGATACATACAGACGGACTACCCCCCGAAAGTTTCCTGGGGATTTAACGTCCCGTCCAGATTTGAGCCCGGGTCCCCCAGAGCGGTTGGCTGCCACCTTGACTGCTTGGCCATGTGGCCTCTTCACTTTGCATCAGGAGCCGAGCATAAGATTTAGCCTTTTAGGTGAGGAGAGTCAAGGATGCATAGTAACTACGCCATCGAATTGCCTACAACAGATTACCTATACTTTCGATGGTTACAAAATAGACCTCCAGACAGCTGATTTGGTTGAGGCATTATCATCTGTTTTGGGGGATTTTGGATGGACTCCAGAGATCAAAAGCACCAGAAATTTTTCATACATGAAGTAAGGGCATTTTTTTTCCAGCCTACCGTGGCTTCGGTCAGGACTACAGCAATACCACAACCAGGTGTAAAGAAAAGTACTCAACATATAAGCATACACTCACCAATTAAGATTTCTGAGGATCCAATCCGTACTCTAATCCAGGATCCAAGACCAGAAACTTTACATCATTTTACCATCTCTTCTTTGATGGTAAAAACCAGATAAGTGAGATGGTAATTATACATTATGGTAACTAACTACAGTTTAAATTTTTCATAACTATGCTAAGATGGAAATCTTAAGATAGTTATGAAATATGTATTTATAAGATGCTTTTAAATTCAAGTACATTGAAATTTTTATGTTACTTGAAATAATATATTATATTATAAATAATTTTCTTAGATTTACATTAATTTTTTAAAACTTACCTGCATTTCCAAGTTCCAAAAATAATGTCTGAGGAATGTGTCCAAATACGAATACATTTATTAATAAAAATTTAATTCCACAAAATGCAGCAGTTTTCACTTCATTGCAATTATGAACCAATTTTCGAGTCGATTGATGCAACGAAACGGAAGTTATATATTTCATTGTTGTATCTGATTTTAAAAAATAAAAATGTATTTTTTAAAAAAGAAAAATCAATGCTGTATAAAAAGGTAAATTTAATTTAAAAGTGTTTTTGTTATAGACTATATGTATCGTAATTTCATGAAAATAATCTATGCCAATTTTATACCAACCGATCAGTGGCTGAGGATAACACTGGTAAGTGGTACAAATCCACGACTACCTGATTGTAGGTTCTCACCTAACAAACGGGCTGGTCACGTAGAATTATTCAAGTTTTCTTCATATATAACAGCTAACTAAGTGCCAGCTAATGTGTGGCACTGCCTTATCCCATCAAACTAAACCATCCTGGACCCATCAGTGGCCAAGCGGTTCCGTACCTTGAACACTGGGGGTACTCTGAACACTCGGAGCGAGGCGCGAACAGAGTGTTCGCGCCTCGCTCCTACGGGCTGGCCACGTGGAGTTTTCCTGGTTTTCTCCACGTCTGTAACGCCTAAATAGGAGCCAGTTTCTTTTAAAAGACCAACCGGAAGGTATTATTCTCCGCGTAACGACCATCATAAACGCATACAACTATTATTACATGAAATTACGTCACACTTTACCATGGTGTGATATAGCCTAGAAGCCCATGCCTATTAGCCAATACAAGACAAGACAAACCATCTTAATATGTATTGTTATAATTATTTCATAGAGAATGTAGGGCCTCTTGAATGTCATGGCTTAGAACCACAACTTGTTTAACTGCACCGTCACTGGTAGGCAATTCGGAGAAAGATGCCTCTCTGGAGTTTGGCAACAATATTTAAATTATTTTAGTGCTATTTTACAGTTTATAATTAAAATTATCGTAACCATTTATTTAAAATATAAAATTATTAAATATTCAGCTCATCTAAATTATTCAGTCATCGTTTAAAGTGTATATGTTACTCATTTGAAATGATCGATTTGATTATTCCGAAATTATTTGAAGGAAGTTTTATATTTACCTTTCTCTCTATTTGAAGAAATAATATGTAATTTAATTAGAGAGTCTGCAATGGTTGAGATGACGACCCAAACGGAAAATAAAGTAAAGATTGTTCTATATGAATATACAATTATAATGAGACAATATGAAAAACAGAGGAATATATTGACTATAAATTGAGTGGCTACTTTATTACATACGCTATTTTCTCGAGTAGATGGGTCAAACATGCAAGTTTTGTTCGTGAGAAAAATACGAGAAAAGCTCCAGTCTATCGCTCTAGGGGACCAGAGTTGGGTCCAGATTGCAAACCTTAGGAAATTTTCATGGGTGATCCTTTTCAGTTATGCTAGTATGATGTCTAACCACTCGGCCCTTTCCATTGTTGGCCCGGAGGAGTCCGTTGGAATCATTATTAAGTTCATCTTAGTGCCCAAAAGATTGAGTTAGAAAGAATACTAAATCCCCTTTCAATTGCATGAACTAGTTTTTCTGTAAGAAGGCTGCATGCAGTAAAACATTTCATATCAGTGAATGAGCCAGTAAGGCCAAGAATGCAGCCTATATATATATATATATTTATTAGACAGGTACTTGTAAAATGTACATATTCAAATACCACAAAATATTTGAAGTATAGGCTATTTACAATATATATATATAAGTAGTATATAAAGCTAAAACGTCAACACATACATATGTATATGTTGTCTTTTTTAGCCTTACTCATTTACTAACATTTTTCTTACCTAAATGTTATTAATATCATTGTCATTACAGTCATCAACCTAGAAGTTATTACAAGATGGAACAAAAAGATGACTGAGAAACTACTCACTCAACAAACAGGGTATTGTCGTTATGTCAGCAGGGATAAAAATTTCCAGTAAACCTATTTCGATATTTCAATAAATCCTTGCCAAAATGAAATCATATTGTTCTGTTGTACACCCGAAATTAGGAGTGTTCGTAATATGGTAACCACTCAATGTGTGTTAGCGTAAAGAGCAAAACTAAATAGAATAAATACGTTGAAAACTAAGTAGCTTACATGCATATTATTTGAGCAGTAGTGTATTTTATTCCTTGGAATTTGTCTGTGCAATATTCTACATCAACAAGTTTCTCATCTAACACTAAATAATGTTTAATAAAAATGCAGTATTGTGATAAATAATATATATTAAAATTTATCAAAAAATAAACAAACGAACGAAATCTTACGACAAATTATACTCACACCAATCTAAAACATTTTTTACATCATTTTCATTACAGTTATTTGGAACACAAACGTCGAAACGCAAGCCGTTTCTTGAGTTCACAAAAGATTTTATGAAATTCGAGTAGGGCACAGGTTTCTGAAATTATATTATTAAAGTCAATTTAAAATATCAATGACAGTAATTAAATTACCATTGAATAATTTGTTATCACTACTAGGTGCTTATACAGACACTTGGCAATTCTGTTATCAACTTTTATTCGGGAATTTTTATTTGCCGAGACACGTTTCAGGCTCGAACCCCTCTTCCGTCGGCAACATAATAAAAACACAGAAACAAGTTTCTTATATATCACACTGTATTCTATATTATTACAGTTAAAAACATACCATTACTTCCCGGAATTTGCCTTAGCATGACAATTGAAAATACATTTATTTCGCTGTTAAATACATTTCATTATTAAACAGTTTTACATTTAAAGTTATCTCACAAATAAATATTTTTCCCAATTAAAATTATACTTACATTTAAACTTTTTGTGAATAAAGAATACTATTCATACACTAAACATCTCAAAGATACAATCTCGTTCAAATTACCTATTCGCTATTAATTACGTGCTATTATTAGAGCACATAATGTGTTAGAATACATTTATAATTTAAATTATTCTTACATTTAGAGGATTCTTAGATCCCTGTTCTTACTACTAACTCAATTTACATATTGGTCTATCGCGCAATAAACACAAATATAAGTTTTCTATATTCATTATAACAAGTACAAAGTACCATTCATTTCCTGGCTATCTTGCAGGTTGTAGGCTATTTTAAATTTGGTTTTTTAATCCTTGCGTTAGATGTCACTCATAACACATTGTTGATGTCGATATGGCAAGGATCTGTATAATCTCAATTACATAAGGACAGCAATCTTTTATCTATATTTAACATGTTAGCTCTGTTTAGAATAATTTATTATTATAATAATTTTAACCAATTATTATGGATTTTTATACTTACAGTTTTCTTAATATTATTTTTCTAGTTTTTAATTATTTCATAACTTTCTTTAAATTTTCTTTTATACCAATTGCTTTCTCTGTGTAAAATTTTTACATTATTTTTATCAATTATTAATTGTGCAGCGTTCATAAAAACTTAATTTAATGCTATTATATTTTAAGTTCGCAATGTGTTCCCTTAATTTTGTTTCTACTATCTTTCATGTTTCACCTATACTCAGTGCCGTAACTAGCCATTCCTGTGCCCTGTGCAAGAATTTGCATTTAGGCCCCTTAATTAATTAGGTTTGGGAAAATAATAAAACAAATACATGCATTTTGGGCCTCCTTCCAAGTGGGCCCTGTGCGGGTACACCTGTTGCACCTGCCTAGATACGGCATTGCCTATACTGTATAATCCTTTGGGTTTTCACATGTACATGGTATTGCATACACTGCATTCATTATGTATATTTATCTTCTACTTTATTGCTTATTACAGACATAGTTTGTTGTATTCTTTTTTGCAATTTTTCGTAAGTTGATATAAGCTTTATATTTTATTTATTAAAGTCCTTGTTTATTACAGTAGTGCAAAAAGGCCTGGAATATAAGGAAATGCTCTATATTTTATATCTTTATTTTGTTTATTTCGTTGTACTCCACTGTTGATTTTACTTTCTCATTGTTTAAGTATTCTCTCTTGGATATCCGTTTAATTGAAATTTTATTTGTAATTCATCGATATATTTTTCCTTATTTTGCAATGTACTTGTTCTAGTTATAATTTGTTTATATTCCATACTAAATATATTTTCTTTCATATATTGTGGAGTGTTCGAATTATAATTTATAACTTTAAATGTAAAAATGTTTAATAATGAAATGTATTTAACAGTTAATTAAAATTAAATGTATTTTTAATTGTCATGCTAAGGCAAATTCCGGGAAGTAATGGTATGTTTTTAACTGTAATAATATAGAATACAGTGTGATATAAGAAATTTGTATCTATGTTTTTATTATGTTGCCGAAACGCGTCTCGGCAAATAAACAAGACGCGAATCAACTACCAGTTTTCAATTGTAGACCGAGTTGGTTGACCGAGTACATAAAACAGTGGTTTTAAGTATTTGGCCACTGATGGGCCTGATTGATCTTACAAATTGTTAGATGTAAATTATCCTTCAAGTGTTTAATACAAGTTTTACCTTACGCTGCTTTTCTGTTTACTTTTTTCCGCCTTGTGGACACTAAGAGGACCTTTATCACGCTCATTGTGGATTCTGCTATATCCACAATGGGTCGACCGAGCTGTAAAAGACAGATCACCCGAAAAATTCATGGGAGCTTTCGACCGTTAGAATTCTGTCCCGATTCCCAGAGGATGTCACCTTAACAGATTTAGCCATACTTTATCCTCACTTTGCATTATATAATAAATTTTCAATATAAAAGTATTGTTAGTTAAGAGATACTTACAGTAAATGCTTCCAATAACTGTATTATTGTATTGTTTGTAAGAGTTAAAATTGTCTCTAATGCTTGAAGACTCAGTTTAAACGGCCTACTTGTAACGGCACAGTATTTACCATAAATATATTCAGATGCCATTCCTGGAGGATTTATACTTTTTTCATTTTCGATATTTAGGCATTTGTCATAATCCCCATGAATCCAAAGAGTTAAGGATGTCATCCCAGCGGATGGTTTTCCAACAGAGTCTAACACTGAAATGAAAAACGATAATTATTAGAAGATTCCTGAAAATTTCTCCTATAAATTTCAAATATCCATTATCAAAAGAATGCTGATCACTATATTCTATGGAACTAGTTTATTCAACCTAATACATATGTATTTCAGACAGGCCTACATATTTCAACCGTGGAAATTATTCTCTAAAAGTTTGGCAAATGTTACGATATTTCGAATGCAAAGTTTGCGCTCGGACATTGAAGGACATGTCCAGAAGTGCCTTCTAACGTGGAAAACGTGTGGCTGCAAGTAGGCTTTTGTTGCAGTCATTCGAGCAGTCTGTATGAGAGATTGCGTCAAAGATCAACGGAATGGCCATCAAGAAGTTCTGCGTTAAATTAGAGAAAACAACGACGGAAACTTATGAAACGTTGATCAGTGTGTACACGGGAACGGAAACGGGTAGAAAATGTGTGTTTAAACGTTTCTCATAAGGAATCAGAAAGTGATCCGCGTTCAAATCGGCCGTTTTCGGACGAAGATAGAATCACCCATTAGGGATTTGTTTCTGCGGGTCAAATCCTGAATGCATCATTCTATCTGGAAGTTCTGATTCAGAATATTTGTTTCAGAAGTTCTGAAACAATTGTTATGAATCATAACATATTGTTTTGTTGTTGTAGTAGTAGTTATAGCATATCCGGCACATACGACTAGAATTCAATGAGACTGGAAAGTGGGTTTTGCTGTATATATTGCCAGCTCAATGTGCGATTCTTGTGCGCCAGTCTTAGTACAGTGGCGTGCCGTGACATTTGATGATAGGGAAGCTGTGTTTCTGTAAGAAGCCGATTTCTAGCGGCAATCAGTTAACTGCGCGTCAGTGATGGTCTAGGGTTCATTCATTCGTGCGTGGTGGTGGAGGAGACAAGGACGACAAGTATCTGAAAAAACCGTTTATTTTAACATAAAATAAACATACACTATGTACAAATTAGTTTGCTTTAAGACAATTAACTGTTCGGACATCTTGGGCGTCGATGTGGTTCTTTGATCGTCGATGGAAGGTGGCCCCGGGACAGTGGCATTGAAAAGTCTGTAAGACACGGGTCGACTTCGTCTGTTGGCGCCGGGGACACGGTCTAAGTCCGAAGTGGCACGGTTACAGGTTTAAACAATTGACGAAAAACTGCTTTCTTTTGCGCGTTGACACACGGTGTTTTGGTTATTCGGAACGATAACCAAGTGCGAGGTGACCTCGATTGTCGGGGATTATATCAATCTCCGTCCTTTCGTCCATTTTGATTAGTCGTTCTCCCTCAATCACGCTTCCGGAGTGACTGGTCCCTCGTTACTAAGCGTAACGAGACCCCTACCTGGAGCGCAAGAAAGGTCAAAATCGAAGATGAATTCGATATTCCACCGATCATAACACCACTTCCTTCTGCGTTGCAGTTTGATATAAACAATGGGTATTCGACTACAAATGATTTTTTCCTACGTTTTTTTAAAACTAATAAATAAAACTAATAATAAACTAATAAAACGACTCCATCAACGTATTTGAAAGCTCTTTTTCTATTGAAAGCAACGCTAGCGATGACAATTTTTCCTCCTACCGAGTGTTCCTGTGGTCGAAAAACTGCGCAAAACAGATGCACTGGTAGACGGTACCGTAAAAATTAATAATACAGTCGATCCCCTATAAGATATAGATACGTTCCAATTTATTAGGAATCCGATTTCTTACAAGTCGTTCTAATCACAGCCCGACACGTGTCAAGTTTACGGACTACGGCTGATTGAAAGGTTTTCTTCCATAAAATTAATCGATTCTACACTAATCCGACTCAACATTTCCAAAATACTGTACGTAAATTTTTTCGTAGTTTTATAGGAATCGTAATTAGGGACCGTAATTATAGGGGGGTCGACTGTATTAATTAAATCATATAATTCTTTTAGTACATCTTTGTTCGGATCGTCATTGATTTAATAATTATAATACTTTTTATGTCTAAGAGTTACTTGTCAATATAGTCTGAACACGAATATAAATATTACGATTCACTACATAATTTAAATAAATCAAAAAGTTTTCCATAAAATTTACTTATTTTAAAGAATTAAAACTCGCTTGGAAAAATTGTTTTTCGTTATATTTAAAATTATTAAATCTAAAAGTGATGAAAATTCTAAAGATTTTGTTTTAAAATCTGTCAATATAATTATAATTGAAAGAAAATTATAATTAAATACAGGTACTCCTCACTTTACGACCGAGTTCCGTTCCTACGACTATGTCGTTAAGCGAGAAGCTTGCTCCAGGAATATAGGATCGTTGTAAAATTATAAAAATTATGCAACAAACTTCAAATTTATTCATAAAAAGACATGCATATGTACTGTACACAT